GGTGAATGCCACAAATTCTCCTAAATCACTCGTACGCACAACTTAAGAACAAATCTGTGCGTACGAACGGTTCTTGCATGAGGCCCGATGCTTCCCTAAAAACTTATAATGGGTGTTATAAAAGATATAACTCAAAACCTAGAGAATTTGCATTTGAGGCGAAAATGCTGGTGTGAATGCCTCTTGCTGATAACTTTAGCTGAAGAACAGCTAAGAAACAAACTGATGATGTCACTGATGATGTCACAGCTGCATAGACAGACAACCAGCCAGCCCCATTCAAAGTCAATGTGAAAAAAACTGATAAAAAGTGAAATAGCTAAAAAAATGTATAAAAAGTTAAGATACCATAAGTCATTGCCAGAATGGCAAGAATGATCTGAACATTTTGATACATGAATTGTAAAAACAGCACAAAAATAGTGGAAGGAGATAGGGTCTAAATAATAAAGAGAAACATGAAAATATTCACACTGATAAAATCTGTACCTCAGCTTTGAATTTTCTCACATAAAAAATCAAACATATTTCACTGTAAGAATACATGTGTTGTCTAAAAGGGATCCCTGACTAGCTGTAACATTAGATTATAATGCTATAAGACGCTAAATGTATGCCTTATATGCATTAGCTCAGCGCGACAAAAAGCTAAACCGAAGTCCTCCATCCATATTTTCAGTTACAAACTGCGACTTTTGAAACTTTTAGTTTAAAAATGATAAAACTAAGTATTTTTTACAACAGTTAAAATACATGTTTATCAAATAAAGTGTAATGTTACAACTAATCATGGATCCCTTTAAATGATGTGATGTTTCTGTGCAGGACGACTTCTTCACAGCCCGTACAAACAGTGTCAGATAAGTGAAAACTTACCTTAGATCTGTGGATGTTTGTGAGGCTCACACAGGGCCAGGATACCTGCTGGTTCTGAGTCCAGGGTACCAGGTGAGATCCACCGAGGAGGGATGATCTTCCAGGCAATGCAGCAGGATAATAGGGGTCCTCATAGAGTCTTGCCACGGTGATCCTGGCAAACAGTTTAGTGAAATCCAACRTTAAACTACACTGAACCTCCTCTGGGTTCATAGCAGACAGACTTTCTATTCTTTTCACATGTCTGAAGTAGGCTAACCATCGATTAAAACAAACTCTATAACCGTTACCGTTTGGAGCGTTCCTCGTTCCCAGTTGTTGCGTCAACGGCCGTTGACGCAAGACCCTTGCCGGACGTTGATTTGGACCGCTTCACCTGAAACGAGTAGGAAAATCATCTGTTCTGTATCCATGCTGCATTTTCTGACTTTTATTAAATAAAAAAAGCGAAAAAAATAAGCTAAAACTCTTGAGTACACCTCTGTCCGTCTGCTTCAAAAGGCTTTTAACGAATAAAAAGTGTCTCCTAGCAGAGGCAATGAACACGTCAGAGTTGACGTCATAGTCAAAAAACTTGACTCCCGTTTGTAGCTCCGCCCAAAAACGTGACCTGTCTTGAGCAAAAATGAGACGAAAACGTCAGGGCTGACGTAGTCAAAAAACCGTTTTTAACAGAATGCACGTCACGTGACGCAACATCTGTGGCGACACATCCTGTTTTGGTAACCGGGTATTTCAAAATAAGAGTCTGATTTTATTCAGTTCCTACAAAACTGCGGAGCCCTGCTGGGACGTGTTTTTTTTTTTTYTTTTGCGTTCCCACGAAAATGTTTGTTTTGTATTAACTGCATTAAATCATACTTTTATTTGGAAATTTTCAGTTACCAAAACAGGATGTGTTGCCATATCAATGGTTGCCACAAGTTCGTGAAACTGACATTGATTTGCGTGGCTGCACTGTATTAAAATATCATACTTCCATGCTGTGTGATACATTCATTACGAAGCGCCCGATCCACAGGTTTATAAAGGCCGTTATATCCATAAAAATGAATACGATAAATAATATATCTATGGCCCGATCCGTCCCGGTGGCACAATCCGTACTGTCAGCTCATTTGCGCATGCGCCAAAATGATAGACTTCTGGAATGTGCTGGATTTAGGAAAAATAAAATGAAAATATTTATTTCTATACTTAATTATAAATGTGGGTTACATTATATTCTTAAAACACTTTTGATATTGTATACATTTTGATTTATAAGAAAAAAACTCATCTGTGTTAATTGGGTTTATTGATGCCTCTAAGGCCTTTGATCGAGTCAACCATTACAAGTTGTTTGATAAATTAAAACAGAGAGGGGTTCCAGACAGCATTTTAAGAATTTTAGTTTACTGGTATTCTAACCAGAAAATACATGTAAAATGGGGCAATAACATTTCTGCCTCTTTTGGTGTGAGTAATGGTGTGTGTCAGGGTGGGCTTCTTTCACCTGCATTGTTCAACTTGTATATGGATGATTCGTCTAAACAACTGAACCTTTGTAAAACTGGATGTATGATCGGTGATACTTTGGTTAATCACTTTATGTATGCTGATGATCTGGCTGTCCTCTCACCCAGCAGTGCTGGTTTTCAACAGTTGTTGAATGTCTGCTCTGATTATGGTTTTACATATGATGTGCAGTATAATGCCAAGTGTTGTGCTAATATGCACTAAAGCAGACAGAGAACTTTGTTTTCCTGATTTTTTTTCTGTCGGGGCAAAAGTTAAATGTATGTACTAAAACCTATGGGTCACGATGACATATATCGGCAGTGTCGCATATTATATGCCCAGGCCAATATTTTGATGAGGGAATTTCATATGTGTTCAGATGATGTAAAGATATGATTTATTTAAATTTTACTGTACATCTCTGTATACTGCCCCCTTGTTGGGTAAATTTAAAAAAGCTAGTATGCAGAATTGCTTGTAATGACTCCTTGAGAGTTCTGCTTAAAAAAACCCAGATTCAGTAGTGCAAGTGAGATGTTTTATAGAGCACATGTCAAGACATTTCAAGCACTTATGAGAAATTTAATATACAAATTTATCTGTTGTTTGTGTAAATCTGAGACAGTCTTATTTTAATGTTGTCACATCCTTCTGGGAGTGCATTACGATACCAGTCATCTTTATGGAAATACTGGTATGCAAGTATTTTATAAGTTTTTTTCTTTTCTGTTGTTTATCACGTTTGTTTTTGTCTCTTTTATGTTAACGTGGACCATGAGTCTATTGAATAAACTAATCAATCAATCAAATATAGATTTATGATGCGTGTATATTTATTTATAATAACTTGCTAACTATTTTCTAGACAATCATGTTATAACTCATCTTCGTTTTATTATTTTTTCCTGGAATAAAAATACACAGCTGTTGCAAACGTTGCCGTTTCTATGAAACATTGCAGTGATGAAAGACTGAAATCGAATGAATTCTGTCATCGGTTTAGCGAAATGCTACATGCTAAAAACACTAGATCCGCAGCAGAACCGGGAACGCAAAAGTCAAGAACATGATTGTGATCCCCCATGTCCCCTCCCGGGTTCCGTACTTAAAAAAAGAGAGGAAAAAAGCCCGCGCAGCTGTGACACAGATATCATACAACTTCTAGATACCGCATGGAGCGTTGAAGCTATCTTACGTCGCCGCCATATTGGATGGGTCTCCTCTCGCTTGGCAGCACCAGAGAAAGCAAATATGCCTTTATTTTATGAATTAAATGGCGCAGTTTTGAAAACAGGTTACATGGGATTACATTTTTTACAAGTAAGACTGAACAGCAGTGTTGGTTATTTAACCAACACTGCTGTTCTGGTTAAATAACACATGGCCACAATGACAATATTTTGTCAATGTAGCTAATATTATTTTTCAATCAACAAAAAAATAAAAAATAAAAAGGAACTGCTTCTCTCTCTTTCTTGCTTTTTTGTTTTATTCACATACTTGAGGAGGCAATGAGAAGTTGTTGCTCATCCGAGCTCTATAGACAGACACTCCAAGACAGATTATTTACAGCAGTGGTTCCCAAACTTTTCAGCATTTGACCCACAAAATAACAGCAGCAGAGACCTGAGACCCAGCTATTTTTTTATGATAAACATTTAGGTCAACAAAACATGGGCATTGKWAMMAWWWTTTTTATAYTACATTTWTCCATTTTAAATACACTAACCTCACTCATTTGTAACAACTAAGGCAAAAATGTAATTAATTCAGAAAATCTTTTCAGGACCCCACCTTGATGTTTCGGGACCCCACTTTGGGTCCCGACCCCAACTTTGGGAAACACTGAATTTTACAGGATGGCTTAAATTGCCAGGATTAGAGATGGTGTTAAAATGCAAATATACTTCATAAATAAATACACATTTGTTGTGCGTGTGCTTGCATTCACAGCATACTAAAAACAAAAATATGTATAAATTCTTAAGGTCGTGATTGTGTGAAGGAAAAGAATTAAAGAAACAAACACGTTTTTTCATTATTTTTCACCTTTATATACTATAAATTGTACGTTAGTCCTAATTAACACTTTCTTCTCACTTTGCTGCTACGAGTTTTATTCTAATTCAATTTTACTTTTACTAATAAGCCAAACAACAGGTCTAGTTGTTAAAAAACATTAAACCAAGTATTTCAGCGTGAAATCTCATATTTTTAATGTGTGACAGTGTCCTGTATCATAACTACATCTCTGCCCTTTGTAACAAACCAAACCGTGTTAAAATCGGGTAAGATTTGTGATTATTTCAGCTGGGCAGACAGCTTCCTCAGGACAAATCAATGCGCAGGGGTGCAGGCGAGACCCTTTCAAGATGGCGGCCGCGCTGCTCCAGTTTCAGTCGGTATGACTTCTACGCATATGGCTGTGAGCAGTGATACGAACCTGTTTTCTTAGTTTACAAAAGCAGCTTCCTTATTATCGTTCTAAAACCTTCACTAAAGTAATACTCAGTTGTTGGTGATGGCATCGAAAAGAGGCGCTCTGATAGTTCTGGAGGGAGTGGACCGGGCCGGGAAAACGACGCAATGTAAAAAACTGGTGGAAGCCCTGCAGCAGAGCGGCCGTCCGGCTGAGATGATGAGATTTCCCGGTGAGACCTCTTGGTGTTTTCTTCCTGTAGGTGTTTGGTAGAAATAGGACCTCTGAGGACCTGAGATAAATTCAAGTTGGTCGCACCTTTTTCAAATCTAACAAAATTGGTGTCAAACGTTTTTGCTACGTTTGTGTTGTTTTTGTTTTGATGATAATATTAATGAAAGTTTAAAAGTCAAAAGGTCACACACACGCCGACCCCCTCACATTATTTATGAAATCAAACAAACTTTAAGTCATCAACAGGTAGTTAAACATTACAAATGCGCATGCGCGAAGCGACCACGCTTACATGCTGTGTCGCTATGGAAACGCCGTTTGCGCAGTATTTGTGTGAACATTTTATCATAGATGAGAATTTTCATTAATATCTTTAAGCTAAAAAGGTTTTTGTACTTGTTAAACTTGCTCAATTCCAAAGGCAGCTCGAGCAAAACAGCTTTGCATCTTTTCAATGAACTTTGACCCGGAAAAGCTAGTTTCCGCTATGCGCATGCGCTGAAAACAAAAACAAATGTTCAGCTTCTAACATTTTTGGTCAAAATTTATCTTTAAAAACATGCATGACAAAGAGTAGCATTTCACACACTCAGATAAAAAAAAATACAAATTTCTCTGGGTAAAACTAAAATGACTGGTTGAACGTAGTGTCTACAAAACAAAAAAAACTTATTGTTGAATATTGTTGAGTATTTTCTATTCTAAGTATTGTAAACACAATTAATCCACAGTGGTTTTTAAACACTTTTGGTCATGAGTTTGTTAAAATAACTGACACATTTCTCTGTATTGTATGTCTTGCCCATAAACAAACCAGTCAAGGTGCCTAAATTCATCCATTTAATTTCTTAGTTTTAGAGGTCAAGGCATAAACCTGTAGGTACTATTCTTACATGAAAAACAAAGAAAAATATGTGTGTGTGTGTGTGTGTGTGTGTGTGTGTGTGTGTGTGTGTGTGTGTGTGTGTGTGTGTGTGTGTGTGTGTGTGTGTGTGTGTG